ATTCCCCCCTCCCCGCGCCCCCAGACTCACCTTTCCCGTAGAAGTACTTGCGGTAATACTCGGCGCCCTCGTCGCTGTGCTCGATGGGGTGCGGGGGTCGCGCCCCCGCCGGGGGCTCCTCCAGCACCGCCACGGCCGCATTCGGCAGCTGCCCCGGCCCGGGGGGGCCCCGGGGAGACCCCAGCCCCGGCTCCTGCTCGCCCCCGGTCTCGCAGCAGAAGCGGGGGCAGCTCAGCACCAGCGCCTCGGGCTCGGGGGGCGCGCGGGGGGTCCCGGGGGGCTCCTCGGGCTCCAGGTGGGCGGCCGAAGCCCCCGAGATGAGGCCGGGGGGGCCCGGGGGGGGCTCGCTGGGGTCGAAGAGGATGCTCTGGACGTCGTAATGGGCGAGGAGGGGGCTCCAGGGTGGGCGGGGGAAGGAGTCGGGGTCGCCCCCGGGCGCCGCCAGCCCCAGCAGCAGCAGGGGGTCGCGGAAGCGGGGGGAGCTGGGGCTGCCCCCCCCCGCCGCCTCCTCCTGGCTTTGGCTGCGGCTCCGGGGGGACCCCTCCCCATCCTCCGGGGGTCTCCCCGGAGCCGCCTCGCTGCCGCTGCGCTGCCGGGGGGGCGTGGATCCCCCCGGGGAGGGGGGCGGAGAGGGGACCCCCCCAGCCGAACCGGCGGGGGCGGGGGGCGGCCGGGCCAAGGGACCCCGCATTTTGCGGAGGAAGAGATCATCGGACTGCATGGCCCCCTCCCCAAAAATAACCCCGAAAATCCCTAGGACCCCTCAATCACCCACCCCGCGACCCCCAAGAGCCGCTCTGAGACCTTTCGGGACCCCCAGGGACTCCCCAGGACCCCCCGGGATCCTCAGGGAACCCCAAGAGACCCTCAGGGCCCCCCCGGGGGTCTCCCCCGCCCCGGTTGTAGCGGGGATCCCGAAGGCAGCGATTTCTCAATGGGAACGTGGGAACGGGCGGCGCGCTCTGATTGGCTGCCGGCGGATTCCCGCGTGCGGGAGGCCCCGCCCCTTTTCCCACGCGCCCCTCGGCGGGCCGGGTCAATGGGGGGGTCCCGGGGTGACCGAGTAGAGGCCGAGCGGCAGCCCGAGCAGGAACAGCCACACGTAGAGCCGCACGCAGTTGGCGAAGGCGCCGAGCTGCGGCTCCAGGAAGCAGCCGCCGGTCAGCGAGGCCCACACGCCCTGCCGGAGCACCTGCAGCACCGCCGGCCCCGCCATGGCGGCCCCGGGACCCCCCGGGATCCCCCGGGACCCCCGCCCAGCTCCGGTGCCGGAGCCGCTTCCGGGTGCGCGCCAAAATGACGTCACAGCGTCGGGACACGCCCATCTCCCGTTGGACACGCCCCTTTCGTTGTCCCTCGCCCGTTCGGCGGGGAGGCCACGCCCCTTTCCGGGTGTGGGCGTGGCCACGCCCGCCGTGCCCCCCGAGCGCGCAGGGCGCCCCCCAGCGGCGCCGGGCGCCAGCGCCCCCCCCGGCCTTGGGGGAGGGGAGGGGGCGCACACGGGACCCCTCCCCAGCCCGGTATCCGCTCCCGGGCCCGCCCTAAGCCCCGCTCACGGTGCCCCGTGAGACCCCCGGGGCGCTAGCGCCTCCCCCAGCCCGGTGCGGGGGTCCCGGTGTCACCGCTGCCCTCCCCCCCC